TCAAAGGAGTTTTTTATATATATATATATATATATATATATATATATATATATATACACACACATATATATACACATATATATGTATATATATACATATATACATATATATATATAATTTTTTTCCGATTAATTTATTTTATTGCATTTTAGGTTTTGGGGTACATGCGAAGAACACGCAAGATTGTAGCATAGGTACACACGTGGCAGTGTGATTTGCTGCCTTCCTCCCCATTACCTACATCTGGCTTCCCTCCCCTTGCTATCTCTCCCCAGCTCCCCACCGCCCACCATCCATCCCCTATTTCCCCCCAACTGACCCCAGTGTGTAGTGCTCCCCTCCCAGCGTCCATGTGTTCTCATTGTTCAACACCCGCCTATGAGTGAGAACATGCGGTGTTTGATCTTCTGCTCTTCGGTCAGTTCGCTGAGAATGATGGTTTATATCGTCGATGGGCATTTGGATTGGTTCCAGGTCTTTGCTATTGTAAACAGTGCTGCAATGAACATTTGTGTGCACGTGTCCTTATAGTAGAACGATTTGTAATCCTTTGGATATATACCCAGTAATGGGATTGCTGGGTCAAATGGAATTTCTATTTCTAGGTCCTTGAGGAATTGCCACACTGTCTTCCACAATGGTTGAACTAATTTACACTCCCACCAACAGTGCAAAAGTGTTCCTATTTCTCCACATTCTCTCCAGCATCTGTTGTCTCCAGATTTTTTAGTGATCGCCATTCTAACTAGTGTGAGATGGAATCTCAATGCAGTTTTGATTTGCATTTCTCTGGCAACCAGTGATGAGGAGCATTTTTTCATATGTTTGTTGGCCTCATGTGTGTCTTCCTTTGTAAAGTGTCTGTTCATATCCTTTGCCCAGTTTTGAATGAGCTTGTGAGTTTTTTTCTTGTAAATCTGTTTTAGTTCTTTGTAAATTGTGGATATCAGGCCTTTGTCAGATGGGGAAACTGCAAAAATTTTTTCCCAATCTGTTGGTTGCCGATTTGCTCTAGTGACTGTTTCTTTTGCTGTGCAGAAGCTGTGGAGTTTGATTAGGTCCCATTTGTCTATTTTGGCTTTTGTTGTCAATGCTTTTGGTATTTTTGTCATGAAGTCCTTGCCTACACCTATGTCGTGAATGGTTTTGCCTAGATTTTCTTCTAGGGTTTTTATGGTGTTAGGTCTTATGTTTAAGTCTTTAATCCATCTGGAGTTAATTTTAGTGTAAGATGTCAGGAAGGGGTCCAGTTTCTGCTTTCTACACATGGCTAGCCAGCTTTCCCAACACAATTTATTAAACAGGGATTCCTTTCCCCATTGCTTGTTTTTGTCTGGTTTGTCAAAGATCAGATGGTTGTAGATATGTTGTGTTGCCTCCAAGACCTCTGTTCTGTTCCATTGGTGTATATCTCTGTTTTGTAACCAGTACCATGCTGCTTTGATTACTGTAGCCTTGCAGTATAGTTTGAAGTCTGGTAGTGTGATGCCTCCTGCTTTGTTCTTTTTGCTTAGAATTGACTTGGCTATGCGGGATCCCTTTTGGTTCCATATGAAGTTTAAGGTGATTTTTTCCAATTCTGCAAAGAAGGTTATTGGTAGCTTGATGGGGATAGCACTGAATCTGTACATTACTTTGGACAGTTTGGCCATTTTAATGATATTGATTCTTCCTAACCATGAACATGGAATGTTTCTCCATCTGTTTGTGTCCTCTCTTATTTCGTTGAGCAGTGGCTTGTAGTTCTCCTTGAAGAAGTCCTTTACGTTCCTTCTTAGTTGTATTCCTAGGTATTTTATTCTCTTTGTGGCAATTGTGAATGGAAACTTTTTCTTGATTTGGCTCTCTTTAAGTCTGTTATTGGTGTATAGGAATGCATGTGATATTTGCACATTGATTTTGTATCCTGAGACTTTGCTGAACTTGCTTATCAGTTCAGGAGATTTTGGGCTGAGACGACGGGGTCTTCTAGATATAGAATCATGTCGTCTGCAAATACAGGCAGTTTGACTTCCTCCTTTCCTATTTGAATGCCCTTTATTTCTTTTTCTTGCCTGATTGCTCTGGCTAGAACTTCTAGTACTATATTGAATAGGAGTGGCGAGAGAGGGCATCCTTGTCTGGTGCCACACTTCAAGGGGAATGCTTCCAGTTTTTTCCATTCAATATGATATTGGCTGTTCGTTTGTCATAAATAGCTTTTACTATTTTGAGATACGTTCCGTCAATACCTAGCTTAAACATGTGGTTTTTGTATTTGGTTCCGTTTATGTGGTGAATGACGTTTATATAGTTGCGTATGTGGAACCAGCCTTGCATTCCCAGGATGAAGCCTCCTTGATCATGGTGGATAAGCTTTTTGATGTGCTGTTGCAATCGGCTTGCCAGTATTTTATTGAAGATTTTTGCATCTATGTTCATCATGGATATTGGCCTGAAGTTGTTTTTCTTGTTGAGTCTCTTCCAGGTTTTGGAATCAGGATGATGTTGGTCTCATAAAATGATTTGGGAAGAGTTCCCTCTTTTTGTATTGTTTGGAATAGTTTCAAAAGCAATGCTACCAGCTGCTCTTTGTACGTCTGGTAGAATTCGGCTGTGAACCCTTCTGGACCTGGGCTTTTTTTGGGTGGTAAGCTCTTAATTACTGCCTCAACTTCAGACCTCGTTATGGGTCTGTTCAGGGTTTCGGCTTCTTCCTGGTTTAGGCTTGTGGGGAAGCAAGTGTCCAGGAATTTACCCATTTCTTCCAGGCTTACTAGTTTGTGTTCATGGAGTTGTTTGTAATAATCTCTGATGATGGTTTGAATTTCTGTGGAATATCTGGTGACATCGCCTTTATCATCTTTTATTGCATCAATTTGGTTATTCTCTCTTTTCTTTTTTATTAATCTGGCTATTGGTCTGTCTATATTGTTGATCTTTTCAAAAAACCAGCTCCTGGATTTATAGATTTTTTGAAGGGTTTTTTGTGTCTCTATCTCCTTCAGTTCTGCTCTGATCTTAGCTATTTCTTGTCTTCTGCTAGACTTTGAGTTTTTTTGATCCTGCTCCTCTAGCTCTTTCAGTTTTGACGATAGGGTGTCAATTTTTTATCTCTGCTTGCTTCTCATGTGGGCATTTATTGCTATATATTTTCCTCTTGAGACTGCTTTAAATGTGTCCCAGAGATTCTG